TTTCAGGTTTCAGTGATTAGACAGAAGGCGTTTGTGGTTATTCTCACAATGTGAGCTGGAGCTGACACTGTGAGGGGAGAAGGGGGAGAGGCAGAGGAGAGAGAGGTGAGCGAGGGGGGAGCGAGGGGGGAGCGAGGGGGGAGAGAGAGGGGAGCGAGGGGGGAGCGAGGGGGGAGAGAGAGGGGAGAGCGGAGGAGAGCGAGGGGGAGAGAGAGGGGAGCGAGGGGGGAGAGAGGGGAGAGCGGAGGAGAGTGAGGTGAGCGAGGGGGGAGCGAGGGGGGAGAGAGAGGGGAGAGAGAGGGGAGAGAAAGGGGAGAGAGAGGGGAGCGAGGGGGGAGAGAGAGGGGAGAGCGGAGGAGAGTGAGGAGAGAGAAGGGAGAGAGGAGAGAGAAGGGGTGAGAGGAGAGAGGAGGGGGGAGAGGAGGGAGGAGGGGGGAGAGGAGGGAGGAGGGGGGAGAGGAGAGAGGAGGGGGGAGAGGAGAGAGGAGGGGAGAGAGGAGGGGGGGAGAGGAGAGAGGAGGGGAGAGAGGAGGGGGAAGAGGAGAGAGGAGGGGAGAGAGGAGGGGGGAGAGGAGAGAGGAGGAGAGAGGAGAGAGAGAGAGAGGAGGAGAGAGAGAGAGGGGAGTGAGGGGGGAGAGGTGCTTAAACCACAAGGATTTGTCTCTATTTCTGTTTCCCTCTGGGTCACACTCACATGAACCTGCAGCTGCTCCTCATCTATGACTCATTAGTGTAGATTTATCTCACCGTGGATCAAACCAAACCTCTCTGCTGCTGCTGCTGCTGCTGCTGCCACAACCTCTGCTGCTGCTGCTGCTGCTGCTGCCACAACCTCTGCTGCTGCTGCTGCTGCTGCTGCCACAACCTCTGCTGCTGCTGCTGCTGCTGCTGCCACAACCTCTGCTGCTGCTGCTGCTGCTGCTGCTGCTGCTGCTGCTGCTGCCACGACCTCTGCTGCTGCTGCTGCTGCTGCTGCTGCTGCTGCTGCTGCTGCTGCCACGACCTCTGCTGCTGCTGCTGCTGCTGCCACAACCTCTGCTGCTGCTGCTGCTGCTGCTGCCACAACCTCTGCTGCTGCTGCTGCTGCCACAACCTCTGCTGCTGCTGCTGCTGCTGCTGCTGCTGCTGCCACGACCTCTGCAGCTGCTGCTGCTGCTGCTGCTGCCACGACCTCTGCTGCTGCTGCTGCTGCTGCTGCCACAACCTCTGCTGCTGCTGCTGCTGCTGCTGCTGCCACAACCTCTGCTGCTGCTGCTGCTGCTGCTGCTGCTGCTGCTGCTGCTGCCACAACCTCTGCTGCTGCTGCTGCTGCTGCTGCTGCTGCCACGACCTCTGCTGCTGCTGCTGCTGCTACTGCTGCTGCTGCTGCTGCTGCTGCTGCTGCTGCTGCTGCTACTGCTGCTGCTGCTGCTGCTGCTGCTGCTGCTGCTGCTGCTGCTGCTGCTGCTGCTGCTACTGCTGCTGCTGCTACTGCTGCTGCTGCTGCTGCTACTGCTGCTGCTGCTGCTGCTGCTGCTGCTGCTGCTGCTGCTACTGCTGCTGCTGCCACAACCTCTGCTGCTGCCACAACCTCTGCTGCTGCTGCCAAAACTGCTCTGCTGCTGCTGCTGCCAAAACCTCTGCTGCTGCTGCCAAAACCTCTGCTGCTGCTGCTGCCAAAACCTCTGCTGCTGCCACAACCTCTGCTGCTGCCACACACACACACACATGATGTAGTGTTGTGGAGCAAACACATGTCTCACTGAGGGTGATGTCACACACTTAGGTCCAGTTTCTCTTTACTCGCATTAATGAGGCTAAAATAAGACATGACACACACACACACACACACACACACACACACACACACACACACACACACACACACACACACACACACACACACACACACACACACACACACACACACACACACACACACACACACACACACACACACACACACACACACACACACACACACACACACACACACACACACACACACACACACAGAGGCCATCAAGACCAGGTCCAGGACCACAACCAGCACTAAGACCAGACCCAGGACTAAGACCATGACCAGCACTAAGACCAGGACCAGGACTAAGACCATGACCAGCACTAAGACCAGGACCAGGAGCAGGACTAGGACAGAGTCCAAGAGCTGGAACTGTTTCCACAGAAACATTTTGTGGTTTAAGAACCTCAGCTTTAAATATCTTTGTTCAAACCAGGACTCTTGGTCCAGGTCTCAGCTCTGGTCCAGATCTCAGCTCTGGTCCAGGTCTCAGCTCTGGTCCAGGTCTCAGCTCTGGTCCAGGTCTCAGGACAGGAGGAGGTCATGTCCTGTGTAGGCGTGTTTTTAGACTCGACGACAGCAGCTCCAGCTCAGAACGTGTCTCTGCCTCAGCTTTGAATTACTCCAGGTCCAAGACTCATGTGACCGTGGCATGTAAACCATCCAGGTCTCTGAGGAACCCCGAGGGCCGAGTCCCAATCCTGAGGACCAGGTCTGAACACTGAGGACCGAGTCCAAACCCTGAGGACCGAGTCCAAACCCTGAGGACCAGGTCTGAACACTGAGGACCGAGTCCAAACCCTGAGGACCGAGTCCAAACCCTGAGTACCAGGTCTGAACCCTGAGGACCAGGTCTGAACCCTGAGGACCAGGTCTGAACCCTGAGGACCAGGTCTGAACCCTGAGTACCAGGTCTGAACCCTGAGTACCAGGTCTGAACCCTGAGGACCAGGTCTGAACCCTGAGGACCAGGTCTGAACCCTGAGTACCAGGTCTGAACCCTGAGTACCAGGTCTGAACCCTGAGGACCAGGTCTGAACCCTGAGTACCAGGTCTGAACCCTGAGGACCAGGTCTGAACCCTGAGTACCAGGTCTGAACCCTGAGGACCAGGTCTGAACCCTGAGTACCAGGTCTGAACCCTGAGTACCAGGTCTGAACCCTGAGGACCAGGTCTGAACCCTGACATGTGTGACATCACTGTAGTAGATCTTTCCTCTGAGGCCTGCAGCCATTTGTCAACATCATATTTGAGTCTAAATGTAGCTCTCAGATCCTTTACACATGTACATACACACAGACACACACAGACACACACAGACACACACAGACACACACACACACACAGACACACACACGACACACACAGACACACACAGACACACACAGACACGGACACACACACGGACACACACACAGACACACACAGACACGGACACACACACGGACACACACAGACACGGACACACACACAGACACACACAGACACAGACACACACATAGATGACACACACACGGACACACACATAGATGACACACACATACACAGACACACACACACACACAGACACACACAGACACGGACACACACACGAACACAGACACACACAGACACGGACACACAGACACACACAGACACGGACACACAGACGCGGACACACACACGGACACGGACACACACAGACGCGGACACACACACGGACACACACACAACAGGCCTATAGCTTTGATCCGTGGTTGTGATGTTGTGTTGCCTAAACCACAGTGTCACCAAAACAACTGGGAACTATAGTCCTGACTGACAACACTGTAAACCCTAACTTACCGTACTTCAGATATCAAGTTATTTTAAATAGATTTTTCCCAGTAAGTGAATAGTACTCATTTATTGTTAGTTTATTTAAAGCTTGCCTATGTCACTCAGGATTTTCTTTGAATTGAACTGTCTGTTCAAGTAAGCCTCACTTTTGACATTTTGACGTGTAGAGTCTTAAATGAGACAGGTGTGTTGCTAACAGGGTGGCTGAGTGGGTAGCACCTTCACCTCTTAACCACTAGGTTGCAGGTACGAATCCTGGTCAGAGCATGAGTTGAAAATTAAACTTTATCAGAATCACTTGAGTTTACTTGGTAATATCAAGTAAAGGATACACTCGAGGAATTCAAGTGAAGTTAATATGCAATTTATTTCCATGGGTTTTTCAAGTAAACTTTACTTGTCAGGGTTTACAGTGAAGGACCAGAGAGAGACCAGAGAGAGAGACCAGAGAGAGACCAGAGAAGGACCAGAGAGAGACCAGAGAAGGACCAGAGAGAGACCAGAGAGAGACCAGAGAGAGACCAGAGAGAGACCAGAGAAGGACCAGAGAGAGACCAGAGAAGGACCAGAGAGAGACCAGAGAGAGACCAGAGAGGGACCAGAGAGAGACCAGAGAGAGAGACCAGAGAGAGACCAGAGAGACAGACCAGAGAGAGAGACCAGAGAGAGACCAGAGAGAAACCAGAGAGAGAGACCAGAGAGAGACCAGAGAGGGACCAGAGAGAGACCAGAGAGAGAGACCAGAGAGAGACCAGAGAGACAGACCAGAGAGAGAGACCAGAGAAGGACCAGAGAGAGACCAGAGAGAGACCAGAGAGAGAGACCAGAGAGAGACCAGAGAGAGACCAGAGAGAGAGACCAGAGAAGGACCAGAGAGAGACCAGAGAGAGACCAGAGAGAGAGACCAGAGAGAGACCAGAGAGAGAGACCAGAGAAGGACCAGAGAGAGACCAGAGAGAGACCAGAGAGAGACCAGAGAGAGACCAGAGAGAGACCAGAGAGAGAGACCAGAGAGAGACCAGAGAGAGAGACCAGGGAGAGACCAGAGAGAGACCAGAGAGAAACCAGAGAGAGAGACCAGAGAGAGACCAGAGAGAGACCAGGGAGAGACCAGAGAGAGACCAGAGAGAGACCTGAGAGAGACCAGAGAGAGACCAGAGAGAAACCAGAGAGAGAGACCAGAGAGAGACCAGAGAGAGACCAGGGAGAGACTAGGGAGAGACCAGAGAGAGACCGATCCCTGGACTGCTGCTGTATCTCTTACATGTGTCTCTGTGGAGCGTCTCTCGGTCTATTTCTGAGAGCGACGTGTGGACAGCTGCGTCCAGATCGATCAGACTCTGTCCTCTGGGTCCACAGAGACCAGGACAACACCTGCTGGTCCCCTCACACCAGAGACCACATGTCCCCTCACACCAGAGACCAGGACAACACCTGCTGGTCCCCTCACACCAGAGACCACATGTCCCCTCACACCAGAGACCAGGACAACACCTGCTGGTCCCCTCACACCAGAGAGCAGTTCCGCCGCTGGTCCATCAGTGTGGGTCCGCGCCTGGAGGCCACTGCTGGTACTGCAGCCTCAATCTCATGGGTTATAATGGGGATTTTTACATGGACCAGAGAGACCAGAAAGACCAGAAAGAGAACAGAGAGAACAGAAAGAGAACAGAGAGAGAGAGACCAGAGATGCCAGAAAGAGAACAGAGAGAGAGAGACCAGAGACACCAGAAAGAGAACAGAGACAGAGAGACCAGAAAGATAACAGAGAACATCTTGTTCTTCACCTACAGCTATCACTAAGACAGAAGTTTAAGAAAAAGAAGGAAAAACATTCTCTAGACTGTCCTGGGTCTACACACACACACACACACACACACACACACAGACACACAGACACACACACACACACACACACACACACACACACACACACACACACACACACGCACATACGCACAGACACACACACACACACACATACACACACACACACACACACACACACACACACACACACATACACACACACACACACACAGACACACACACACACACACACACACAGCTGGTCTCATTTCTCTCAGTCCTGCTGCAGACTCGGAGGTCGGTGCTGCTGAAAAGAGGTGAGATTTAAAGCTCGGGTACGTAACTTTTTAGCTTCATTAACATCACATTGTTTTGTGAGAGCGATCCCTGTGAGTCACTATTGGACTGTTTGGGCTGAGACAGAGCCACATGTGTTAGAACCAGGAACCAGTGATGGTTTTATGACTTCTATTGTTGTTGTGGTCTGAAAGTTAGGAACCCCAGCTTTAATCTAAATCAACCAAATGAGCAGTGAGGGAAATATGAATAAACAGGACTATGGTCTCTCTCTGGTCTCTCTCTGGTCTCTCTCTCTGGTCTCTCTCTGGTCTCTCTCTGGTCTCTCTCTGGTCTCTCTCTGGTCACTCTCTAGTCTCTCTCTGGTCTCTCTCTGGTCACTCTCTAGTCTCTCTCTAGTCTCTCTCTGGTCTCTCTCTGGTGACTCTCTGGTCTCTCTCTGGTCTCTCTCTGGTGACTCTCTGGTCTCTCTCTGGTCTCTCTCTCTGGTCTCTCTCTCTGGTCTCTCTCTCTGGTCTCTCTCTCTGGTCTCTCTCTGGTCTCTCTCTGGTCACTCTCTAGTCTCTCTCTGGTCTCTCTCTGGTCACTCTCCAGTCTCTCTCTGGTCTCTCTCTCTGGTCTCTCTCTGGTCTCTCTCTCTGGTCTCTCTCTCTGGTCTCTCTCTGGTCTCTCTCTGGTGTCTCTCTGGTCTCTCTCTCTGGTCTCTCTCTAGTCTCTCTCTGGACCAGGTGGTGACGGCTCTAAAGACCTGGATGAACTGTTAACTCTGTGGTCGGTCAGAAACTGCTGTGAAGCGGCTCATGTTTCATTTGCTCGTACTTTACAAGACCAGAAAGAGACCAGAGAGAGAGATCTGAGAGAGAGACCTGAGAGAGAGACCTGAGAGAGAGATCTGAGAGAGAGACCTGAGAGAGAGACCTGAGAGAGAGATCTGAGAGAGAGACCTGAGAGAGAGACCAGAGAGAGAGATCTGAGAGAGAGACCTGAGAGAGAGACCTGAGAGAGAGACCTGAGAGAGAGACCAGAGAGAGAGACCAGAGAGAGAGACCAGAGAGAGACCTGAGAGAGACCAGAGAGAGAGACCAGAGTGAGACCAGAGAGAGACCAGAGAGAGACCAGAGAGAGACCAGAGAAAGACCAAACCTATATAATGTAGATTTTGTCCTCAGCCCCACATGGTGCTGGTGTTCAGTCCTGGTTCTTCCGTGTGCAGATGGACAGTTCTCCGGTGGAGGAGCTGATGGAGATCACGGCGCAGAGTCTTCTCGACCTCGAGATCCACGATCGATTTAAAGTCGTTAAAGAAATCGGGCGCGGGAAATACGGCCACGTCCTGCTGGTCACACACCGCTGTAAAGGTACCAGAGAGAGACCAGAGAGAGACCAGAGAGACCAGAGAGACCAGAGAGGAACCAGAGAGAGACCAGAGAGAGACCAGAGAGAGACCAGAGAGAGAGACCAGAGAGAGAGAGACCAGAGAGACCAGAGAGAGAGACCAGAGAGAGACCAGAGAGAGAGACCAGAGAGAGAGACCAGAGAGAGACCAGAGAGAGACCAGAGAGAGACCAGAGAGAGACCAGAGAGACCAGAGAGAGACCAGAGAGAGACCAGAGAGAGACCAGAGACAGACCAGAGACAGACCAGAGGGACCAGAGAGAGACCAGAGAGAGACTAGAGGGACAGAGAGACCAGAGAGAGACCAGAGAGAGACCAGAGAGAGACCAGAGACAGACCAGAGACAGACCAGAGGGACCAGAGAGAGACCAGAGAGAGACTAGAGAGGGAGACCAGAGAGAGACCAGAGAGACCAGAGACAGACCAGAGGGACCAGAGAGAGACCAGAGAGAGACCAGAGGGACAGAGAGACCAGAGAGAGACCAGAGAGAGACCAGAGAGAGACCAGAGAGAGACCAGAGAGCGACCAGAGAGAGACCAGAGAGAGATAAGAGAGAGATACCAGAGAGAGACCAGTTGGGCACGTGTCCCTGGCCTCCTGTGGCTCTGATGGTTTAACACGAGACTGAGACTGGTGTGTTTACTCTGAGCAGCTGCTGAATGTGGGGAATGGAACCCCACACCTCTGAACGCTGCTCACTATGTCCATCTATCACTGTGGCCTTGCTCAACGACACAGCAGTAACCTGTGGGGAATCTGTCGCGCACCTCGCACTGAGAATACCAGCGGCACAGGCACTTCCTGCAGAGGGTTATGTAATCACCAGGGTCTGTCTGTTTGGCAGTGACAGAGCTTCACAGATACATGAGTTCATCTTCATCCATGAGCACTTCCCTTAACACTAGAAAACCCATGGAGCCTAAAAAGCCCAGCACGGTGCCAAAAGACTCCAAGGATTCTAGATAACCACCCTAAACCACCCTAAACCACCCTACACCACCTTAAACCACCCTAAACCACCCTAAACCACCCTAAACCACCCTAAACCACCCTAAACCACCTTAAACCACCCTAAACCACCCTGAACCACCTTAAACCACCCTGAACCACCTTAAACCACCTTAAACCACCCTGAACCACCCTGAACCACCTTAAACCACCACCTTAAACCACCCTGAACCACCTTAAACCACCTTAAACCACCCTAAACCACCCTGAACCACCTTAAACCACCCTGAACCACCTTAAACCACCTTAAACCACCTTAAACCACCTTAAACCACCCTAAACCACCCTGAACCACCTTAAACCACCTTGTTCTTTTCTCCCCTTTTTTTAAAAACTTGTTTCTTCGCTTTCTCTAAAAGCCTAACCAGGGACGGGGGCTGCAAATTAGCCTTTGGCTAGAAGCCTTGTGTACTTCACATCGGTTACCTGTGGGTGACAATGTTTTTTTGTACTGTCCCTGTCAAATAAATAAATAAATAAAATAAATAAAATAAACCACCCTGAACCACCCTGAACCACCTTAAACCACCTTAAACCACCCTGAACCACCCTGAACCACCCTAAACCACCTTAAACCACCCTAAACCACCTTAAACCACCTTAAACCACCCTGAACCACCTTAAACCACCCTAAACCACCCTAAACCACTACATCACCACTTTACCGTCGTGTGGAAACATCAGTTGTTGGTGAGATTTAATTGATTTTAAATGCTGCAAAATAAGAAACACTTTTTCTCATTGGTTTTGGTGCATTTTTCAGACTTAAAGTTCTCAAAAGTATGAGTCCAACTTCCACAACACAGAGTCATGTGACATCATCACAGCAGTGTCTCCTCTGAACACTTTACAAATACTTTTGTTCATGAATCAGTTACTTTCATACAATTATCTGTGTTTTAGAACATTATCATTTGCTGTGCACAGACATACTGTATATCTGTGTACAGTATGTACTGTATGTATGTACTGTATGTACAGTATGTACTATATGTACTGTATGTACAGTATGTACTGAATGTACTGTATGTACAGTATGTACAGTATGTACTGTATGTACAGTATGTACAGTATTTGGTCTTTGAAATCCTACAGCAAAAACACAGTCACAGTATTTCCGTAGAACAAACTGAAGAAGATGACATAGTCTGGGATCGCGTCTTTAATTCCGACAGAAGACATGTTTTATTGTCGATGGTAGAGACAGCACGAACACAGAAACAATAGAATGCAAGTGTATTATACAGAGCGTTGGCATGGAGACCTCCAATCAGCAGCTGCCACGGTGCCATGTAGCTTGGCCTTCAGATAGACACAACAAGGGAAAAGTACTGGCTTCTGCACATTGATAGAATGATGAGTTTAACCTTAACAAAAGTTGCTTAAAAGTGTTATGAAATCTCACAGAACTAAAGCCTGGTGTACATCGACAGAGAAACTGGAGACAACTAGTTGAAGGCGGCTTTTGGCGACAGAGAGGAGATGATGGAGATGATCAGTTGAAATCGGTCGATGTGAGCGCTCTTACAACTGGAGATGATCAGTCGATCTCCAGTTTCAGTCAGTTGCCCGTGTTCTACTTTTCGGCGACTAGCTGTCCTCAGTTTCGGAGATATCACCGATGTGCTCCAACAACATGTGTGTATTGTGTGTATTGCGCCCTCTTCAGTTTATGTCAGAAAACACACTGTGGTTGAGGCCAGCGCTGTTATTCCCCAGACTGGCCTGATACTGGAGTTTCCCGTTTTCACCAGATTGTCGATGTGTGTGGGGCAGCTACTCATAGGCCACGGATATAATCAGTTGCCAGTCCAATGTACGCTAGGATTTACAGAATATCATGATGGTAAAACTGTGACAAATGTAAACAATAAAACACACATGACTGAAGCTGAAACTCACCTCAGAGACACTGATCTCAAAGATAAAGGAAAGTATGAAATGAGGTTGACAGACTTTGAACTAGTTCAACAACTTTGTTTGTGACTAAAACGATGAAATGAGGACTATAGTTTTATAGTGAAAGACTGTTCAGCTTCATAAGTCTGTTTCACTCTGACAGAAGCAAATGATAATGTTCTAAAACAGAGAATTGTATGAAAGTAACTGATTCATGAACAAAAGCTAAGGAAATGAGAACAAATGCCCATATAAGGAAACTGGCTCCAGCTCCTTCTGCTTTAAGGCTAAAACTGTGGTGATGTCACACTGTGGTGATGTCACACTGTGGTGATGTCACACTGTGGTGATGTCACACTGTGGTGATGTCACACTGTGGTGATGTCACACTGTGGTGATGTCACACTGTGGTGATGTCACACTGTGGTGATGTCACACTGTGGTGATGTCACTCTGTGGTGATGTCACACTGTGGTGATGTCACACAGTGGTGATGTCACACAGTGGTGATGTCACACTGTGGTGATGTCACACTGTGGTGATGTCACACTGTGGTGATGTCACTCTGTGGTGATGTCACTCTGTGGTGATGTCACACTGTGGTGATGTCACACAGTGGTGATGTCACACAGTGGTGATGTCACACTGTGGTGATGTCACACTGTGGTGATGTCACACAGTGGTGATGTCACACGGTGGTGATGTCACACTGTGGTGATGTCACACTGTGGTGATGTCACACTACAGTCTGTGGTGTAATAGTTTTGTTTAAAAGGCAGGAGACTGCTCTTTGTGTGACGTCATAGTGGTAAAATGACATCATAGATACAGAAAGGGCGGAGCCTATAACAAAACAAGAAAACAAGAAAAGCCCCTCTTTGGTTCAGCTCTCACTAAGTAACAGATATATATTTATTTGTATAGCGCATGTGTACAGACCAATGAAACCCTTCACAGAGTTCAGAGAATTAAGATCTAATTACATATGGTATACTTTATGGTTCATGAGCTCTTAAAGGTGCAGTACACTGGAGGAGGACGCATCCCATTAGTTTGTTTCGGCTCCCACATGTTGATGAGCGTGTTTGTGGCCCCTGCAGGGACCCCGATGGCCCTCAAAGTGATGCCGAGGGCCTCCACGCAGCTGCAGGGGTTCCTGCGGGAGTACTGCACGTGTCTGCATCTGTCCGGGCACCCGTCCATCGTCACACTCTTTGGCATCGTCTTCAAAACTGCAGAGTTTTACTGTTTCGCACAAGAACTGGTGACAGGACCAGACCTGCTCAACGTCATACAGCCAAAGGTACACAAACACAGAGACACACACACACACACACACACACAGGACCAGACCTGCTCAACGTCATACAGCCAAAGGTACACAAACACAGAGACACACACACACACACACACACACAGGACCAGACCTGCTCAACGTCATACAGTCAAAGGTACACAAACACAGAGACACACACACACACACACACACACAGGACCAGACCTGCTCAACGTCATACAGCCAAAGGTACACAAACACAGAGACACACACAGAGACACACATACTTCTCTCTGATGGTGGTTGTACTTCCTCCTGACCACCAGGGGGCGCTGCATAGCCATGACTGTTCCCTTCACCACAGGTGGAGTGGTTCCCTGTGAGCCCCGCAGGTCCTAAAGCTCATCTCATTCTGCCTTCGATCCCAACTTCATGTGACAGTAAAGCCTAGTGTATACTCGCGCGGCGCGGAGCTTACGGAGGTGACGTGACGTCACTTGCGCAACGCGTTGGTCACCGCAAGGCCCTTACGTCGCCTGCCGCGCAGCATCGAAATTTTCTAACTACGTAAGGGTCGCCGCAAGGAAGCTCCGCTGTGATTGGTCCGTGTGTGAGAGAAGCTCCGCTGTGATTGGTCCGTGTGTGTGTATTGGAAGGAAGCACGGAGCGGCTGCAGCAGGAGCATGGACGAGGCACTATGGAGCAGAGAGCTTTGTGCTTCCAAGGAAAAGCAGTTTGGGCTCAGAGCCTGATATACAGGAGACTGTGGACTATCTAACATATATATAACTTATATCTAACATATATATAACTTATATCTAACATATATATAACTTATATCTAACATATATATAACTTATATCTAACATATATATAACTTATATATAACATATATATAACTTATATCTAACATATATATAACTTATATCTAACATATATATAACTTATATCTAACATATATATTGAGAATGAGGGGTCACGTGATAATTTGGGCGGGGTCTAATCCGGTCGGCCATGTTGATAGGATCCTCCATCGGTTGCCAGGGGCAACGCCACTAACGCTAACGCTCCAGAGGTCTTTAAATTGAGCACGTTTATTAGTTCGGCAGTAGATACATCTACGATTACAACACTAGCAAGACAGTTAATGGAGAAAGTGAAGGCGAAAGGAAATGGACCGTACAGGGAAAAGCAAAACAACGTTATTTGGAGAAGCTCTCAGACATACAACAGGTAGACCCATACGAGCTTCCTGCAGCGGAGTCCGTGCACGTACATGGATATAGTCAATTACCTTGTTTTCGGTGTTAGTTATTATACAATGCAGGAGTTTAGAAGTCACAAGTCACTGGAGAGTTACGAGGCTTTCTGCTGTGGTTGGGTGCAGGACATGGCCATCTACAGCCTCCAGGCGGTGAAAACACCGTTGTACTTGCAAAGATAATGAGCAGAAACTTAAATATTCTTAGTTAGCATTAATGGTTGGCCATTAAGCATTTTCATAGCGGCAACAGTTTGTTAGATAGTTAGCTAGGCAGCTAACTTAAGATGCACTTCAGAGTTTGCAACATTAACAGCTAGGTAACCTGCACTTCTTAACTTTAAAAAAACAACATGAAGACATTTTAGGACGTACCCGAGTGAAAATGCAGAGAACACACTCTCATCGACTGGGGGTGAGATCGAAAGTAAGGTCCTTTCTTCTTATTGCAGCCAACCAAGCCATCCGGCGTCTCTTCGTCAGGTCAGACACCTGCGCTCCCTGATGTTGTATCCATTTTGGTGGCCTAAAAAATTGTAAACCGTTGTTCCTACGTTTTCCTTTCTTATTGTGTGAGGTACTGGAGCAGTTTTTAACACAGCAATGAGCTCCAGGCATGGTAAAACAGAAATAGCGATGACCTCCTTTGCTACCGAGTTAACAACAACTGTTTGCCGCTGGGTGGGATCCTACCAACATGGCGGAGACGGGGAGGGGCTCTGTGCTATGACGTCAACTCCTCACTCTCAATAACTTATATCTAACATATATATAACTTATATCTAACTTATATATAACTTATATCTAACTTATATATAACTTATATATAACTTATATCTAACATATATATAACTTATATCTAACTTATATATAACTTATATCTAACATATATATAACTTATATCTAACTTATATATAACTTATATCTAACTTATATATAACTTATATCTAACTTATATATAACTTATATCTAACTTATATATAACTTATATCTAACATATATATAACTTATATCTAACTTATATATAACTTATATTTAACATATATATAACTTATATCTAACTTATATAACTTATATCTAACTTATATATAACTTATATCTAACATATATATAACTTATATCTAACTTATATATAACTTATATCTAACATATATATATAACTTATATCTAACATATATATAACTTATATCTAACTTATATATAACTTATATCTAACTTATATCTAACATATATATATAACTTATATCTAACATATATATATAACTTATATCTAACATATATATATAACTGATATCTAACATATATATATAACTTATATCTAACATATATATAACTTATATCTAACATATATATTAACTTATATCTAACATATATATAACTTATATCTAACATATATATAACTTATATCTAACATATATATAAACTTATATCTAACATATATATAACTTATATCTAACATATATATATAACTTATATCTAACTTATATATAAACTTATATCTAACATATATATAACTTATATCTAACTTATATATAACTTATATCTAACTTATATATAACTTATATCTAACTTATATATAACTTATATCTAACTTATATATAACTTATATCTAACATATATATAACTTATATCTAACTTATATATATAACTTATATTTAACATATATATAACTTATATCTAACTTATATAACTTATATCTAACTTATATATAACTTATATCTAACATATATATAACTTATATCTAACTTATATATAACTTATATCTAACATATATATATAACTTATATCTAACATATATATAACTTATATCTAACTTATATATAACTTATATCTAACTTATATCTAACATATATATATAACTTATATCTAACATATATATAACTTATATCTAACATATATATATAACTGATATCTAACATATATATATAACTTATATCTAACATATATATAACTTATATCTAACATATATATAACTTATATCTAACATATATATAACTTATATCTAACATATATATAACTTATATCTAACATATATATAACTTATATCTAACATATATATAACTTATATCTAACATATATATAACTTATATCTAACATATATATAACTTATATCTAACATATATATAACTTATATCTAACATATATATAACTTATATCTAACATATATATAACTTATATTGAATTTTTGAATTTGAATTGAATTTATTTCTTTATTTCAAAACCTGCACAGAAGACACATTTGACAAATGTTCAGACACATATGTTCAAGGTTTGAAAAGGGGTTGACCCCACCCCTCTCTGCCATCACTCGCTCTGTGCTGAGGGCATCACTCTCTTTCCTCCTTGTATTTCTTTAGTACATCTTTTTTAAACAAAACTTTAAATTGAGTCAGATTTGTACGATTTTTAAGTTCATCCTTAAAGGTATTCCACAGAGAAACTCCTCGCACTGAGACACACATTGACTTTAAAGTGGTCCTAAATTTAGGCAAGTATACATTTTTATTTCCTCTTAGTCTATGACTATGATGCGCGTCTCTGTCACGAAATAAATTCTGAACATTTGGAGGCAGAGAGTTTTTTGATGCCCTGAACATAATCTGAGCAGTTCTAAAGTGAATCAAATCTTGTAATTTAAATTCTTCCAACTCTATGAACAGTGGGTGAGTATGATGCTTGTAGTGAACATTAGAGACAGTCCTTATGGCCTTTTTCTGCAGTGATCAGAGGCTGTAAGTGGGATTTGTAGCAGTTTCCCCACACTTCAACACAGTAATGTAAATATGACATGATGAAAGAACGATACAATAATAGCATTGGTGTTGAGTAAATGACTTGCTCTCCTCATCATTCCAACACATTTAGCAACTTTTGACCTGATGAAATTTATGTGGGGTTTCCAGGATATTTTATCATCTATTACAACTCCTAAAAATGTATTTTGGTGAACTTTTTCCATTTCTGTATCGTCAATGACAATCTTGACAGGAATATTACATCTGCGATTGCTAAAAAGCATAATCTTGGTCTTTTTTATATTTAATGACAACTTGTTTGTATTAAACCAGGTCTTTAGTTTGTTCATTTCAACAGTTACAACGGCCAAGAGCTGCTCCAGATCATCACCTGCACATATGATATTTGTGTCATCGGCAAAGAGAATGAATTTCATTAAGTTGATATTGTACATATATCATTTATGTACATTATGAATAAAGTGGGTCCAAGTATTGATCCTTGAGGTACTCCACACGTTATGTTCTTAAATCCAGATTTGTGTTGGTCAATCTGTACCAGCTGCCTTCTCTCACTTAAATAACTCTCTAACCATTGTTTAGGCTGTCCCCTTATGCCATAGCTCTCAAATTTGTGTATCAAAATATGGTCAATTGTATCGAACGCTTTTTGAAGGTCAATGAAAATCCCTAAAACAAATTTATTTTTCTCAATACCATTAGTAATTTCTTCAATTAAATCAATTAGTGCGAGTGAAGTGGATCTGTTTTGTCTAAATCCATATTGACTATTGGACAGTAAATTGTGGTTTTCAATAAAGCAGCGAAGTCTAGTGTCAAATACTTTTTCTAATATTTTAGAAAACTGTGGCAGAAGGGAAACAGGCCGATAGTTTGTAAAGTGGTGTTTGTCTCCAGCTTTAAAAATTGGTTCGACTTTTGCAAGCTTCATTTGTGAGGGAAATTCTCCCAGCTGAAAAGATAAGTTGCAGATATGTGTGAACGGTTTAGCAATTTCCTCTGCTACATTTCGGACAGTCCTCATGTCGAGATCATTAATATCACCAGATGTTTTATTTTTACAGTTCCTAATGACATTGAGGACTTCCTTCTCGTCTGTGGGGGCGATAAACATCGAATGTGAATTTGTTTCAATGAGTTCTCTTAGCTGATCATTGTTTTCTGGGATTTTTCCTGCCAACTCAGGCCCTATATTAACAAAGAAATTATTAAAACCATTTGCAATCTTCTTTTTGTCTCGAACAATCATGTCATTTTCAAAAAAAAACTGGGGATAACACAGGCTGTTAGAGCCACGACCAATAACGCTATTCAATACATTCCAAATTCCTTTAATGTCATTTTTCTTTTTGATAAGTAAATCTATATAATATTCTTTTCTGCTGGTTCTCATTATGCTAGTTAATTTATTTTTATATGTTTTGTATTTTTGTTCTTTTTGCAAGCGTTTACAAGGCCTCTTGTGGAGGCCATGGAGTTTTTGTGTGCTTTCTTGTGCACTTTTTGATTGGACAGTGCTTATCATAAAGTGTGAGGAAAATGTCAAGAAACAAATTGTAAGCTCCATTTACATCAAACATTGAAAAAATAGGATCCCAATTTTGCCTCGCTAGATCATGCTTTAATTCTATATATCTAACATATATCTAACTTATATCTAACATATATCTAACTTATATCTAACATATATCTAACTTATATCTAACATATATCTAACTTATATCTAACATATATCTAACTTATATCTAACATATATATAACTTATATCTAACATATATATAACTTATATCTAACACATATATAACTTATATCTAACACATATATAACTTATATCTAACACATATATAACTTATATCTAACACATATATAACTTATATCTAACACATATATAACTTATATCTAACACATATATAACTTATATCTAACACATATATAACTTATATCTAACACATATATAACTTATATCTAACATATATATAACTTATATCTAACATATATATAACTTATATCTAACATATATATAACTTATATCTAACATATATATATAACTTATATCTAACATATATATATAACTTATATCTAACATATATATATAACTTATATCTAACATATATATAACTTATATCTAACATATATATAACTTATATCTAACATATATATATAACTTATATCTAACATATATATATAACTTATATCTAACATATATATATAACTTATATCTAACATATATATAACTTATATCTAACATATATATAACTTATATCTAACATATATATAACTTATATCTAACATATTTCTAACTTATATCTAACATATATATAACTTATATCTAACATATATATAACTTATATCTAACATATATATAACTTATATCTAACATATACATAACTTATATCTAACATATATATATATAACTTATATCTAACATATATATATAACTTATATCTAACATATATATAACTTATATCTAACATATATATAACTTATATCTAACATATATATAACTTATATCTAACATATATATATATATGTGTGAGATTTCATAACACTTTGAAGCAACTTTTGTTAAGGTTAAACTCATCATTCTATCAATGTGCAGAAGCCAGTACTTTTCCCTTGTTGTGTCTATCTGAAGGCCAAGCTACATGGCACTGTGGCAGCTGCTGATTGGAGGTCTCCATGCCTCCGCTCTGTATAATACACTTGCATTCTCTTGTATCTGTGATCGTGTGATCGTGTTCGTGCTGTCTCTACCATTGACAATAAAACATGTCTTCTGTCTGAATTTAAGACGCGATCCCAGACATGTCACCTTCTTCATATGTCTCAGATATTTACCACTATTATTGTTTTCCTGTTTGTGCTGAAAACTATTTAATAATAACTATGTTTCCAACAGAACTGTGTCTTTATTCACAGCATCACAGTTGAAATGACTTATAAAATAATGAATCCATAAAACTATCACATAAACCTACAGTAGAAACACGTGTAATGAGCTCAAACAGCTTTGTTTGTTATTGTTGTTCTGAAGAGGACAAAGTAGCAGCGTAAATGGGACCGCTCCTGTGTGATCGCCCTCATGTGGTTTGTTGTGGGATTACAACATTCTCCTCAAAACTCCGTAAGGGGAACGCACCAGTATAACATCAATTGTGCTTACGTAGGTCCACCGCAACCGCTAACGTAAGCCACGCCGCGCAAGTATACACTAGGCTTAACAAGTATATACTAGGCTTAACAGTGCTTCCATTTCACTAGCCACAGGAGGGCACAGTGTGACATCACAGGAGGGCAGTGTGACATCACAGGAGGGCAGTGTGACATCACAGGAGGGCAGTGTGACATCACAGGAGGGCAGTGTGACATCACAGGAGGGGCAGTGTGACATCACAGGAGGGGCAGTGTGACATCACAGGAAGGTAGTGTGACATCACAGGAGGAGGAACCAGTCCCTGCTGATCCAAGATGGCGTCCTGTCCAAATGAATGTCTTGTGCTCAGTAGTGTCTGGGACGTACAGGACCCAGAGATCAGAGGAACTCGCCCATATTTGGTCATTTCTCTGGTCCTCCCGGTTCTGTGCAGTGGACGAGCTCCCATGATGCTTTGCGCCAAATACGTGTGTGTGGCTCTCATGCACGTGCACAAAGGGGCTCGGCCGCGCTCTGACCAATCAGAGGGCAGCGTTCTGACCAATCAGAGGGCAGCGTTCTGACCAATCAGAGGGCAGTGTTCTGACCAATCAGAGCTGATCAGAGCGGAGTCAGAGCGGGAAGGAAAGGAGCAGAGTTTGTGGCAGTAAAGTGTGGATTTAAAGAAAACCGAAGGATTTAAGAAGAAAAAAAGTTCAGGACGACAAGAGACACTAACATCCTCCTTTATGAAAGCTGCAGGTTCTCTGTCAGGTTCTCTGTCAGGTTCTCTGTCAGCTGAGATCTATTTTAATTTACATTGAGTTCTATGGGACTTTTTTCTGTGACGGTTGTTCTGGTGTTCTCTCGCCTGGTGTCTCTCTCCTGGTGTCTCTCTCCTGGTGTCTCTCTCCTGGTGTCTCTCTCCTGGTGTCTCTCTCCTGGTTTCATGGCTTGGTTGGTAACTGTCCTGGAGCATTACCTGGTTTCTCTCTTTTTACGTGGGGCTCGTAGTTTGCCCCCTCACCCTCCCAGTCCCTGTGCTCCCTCAGGTGGGCCTCTGTATAAGTGTCCCTGTGCTCCCTCAGGTGGGCCTCTGTATAAGTGTCCCTGTGCTCCCTCAGGTGGGCCTCTGTATAAGTGTCCCTGTGCTCCCTCAGGTGGGCCTCTGTATAAGTGTCCCTGTGCTCCCTCAGGTGGGCCTCTGTATAAGTGTCCCTGTGCTCCCTCAGGTGGGCCTCTGTATAACCGTACCTGTGCTCCCTCAGGTGGGACTCTGTATAAGTGTCCCTGTGCTCCCTCAGGTGGGCCTCTGTATAAGTGTCCCTGTGCTCCCTCAGGTGGGACTCTGTATAAGTGTCCCTGTGCTCCCTCAGGTGGGCCTCTGTATAAGTGTCCCTGTGCTCCCTCAGGTGGGCCTCTGTATAAGTGTCCCTGTGCTCCCTCAGGTGGGCCTCTGTATAACTGTACCTGTGCTCCCTCAGGTGGGCCTCTGTATAACTGTACCTGTGCTCCCTCAGGTGGGCCTCTGTATAACCGTACCTGTGCTCCCTCAGGTGGGACTCTGTATAAGTGTCCCTGTGCTCCCTCAGGTGGGCCTCTGTATAAGTGTCCCTGTGCTCCCTCAGGTGGGCCTCTGTATAACTGTACCTGTGCTCCCTCAGGTGGGACTCTGTATAACCGTACCTGTGCTCCCTCAGGTGGGACTCTGTATAAGTGTCCCTGTGCTCCCTCAGGTGGGCCTCTGTATAAGTGTCCCTGTGCTCCCTCAGGTGGGCCTCTGTATAACTGTACCTGTGCTCCCTCAGGTGGGCCTGCCGCAGCCCGCGGTGAAGCGTTGTGCGGTGCAGATTTCCAGTGCGCTGGAGTTTGTGCACAGCCGAGGCCTGGTTCACCGCGACGTGAAGCCGGAGAACGTGCTGCTGCTGGACGCCGCCTGCAGCCGAGTGAAGCTGGCGGACTTCGGCCTCGCTCAGAGACGTGGCGCCTACATCCGCTTCGTCAGCGGGACGCTGCCCTACAGCGCCCCCGAGCTGTGTGCGCGGGTACTGCGCCCTGACGGAGGCGTGGCCGCGCCCCCCCTCAGGGTGGAGCCCGCTCTGGACTCATGGAGCTTTGGGGTCCTGCTGTTCTGCATCACCACAGGCCTGTTCCCCTGGGAGACCTGCTGCCACAGCGACAGCTTCTACAGAGACTGGAGCGAGTGGGGCGGGGGGGCGGAGGGGGAGGAGGGGGAGGAGGGGGAGGCTGCCCCTCCCCTCTGGACCCGCTTCACTCCGGTGGCGCTGCAGATGTTTCGGCAGCTGTTGGCGGTCGACCCGGAGCAGCGCAGCGGCGTGCTGCAGGTGAAGGCCTTTGTGCAACATGATTGGCTCAAACAGAACACGCCCCCAGAGCAGGCCCTGCCCACACCGCCCTGAGCAGACCACGCCCCCCTCCCCCCCCCCCCCCCCCACTGAGTCGAGCACAAGCAGAAGGACCTCCTTAAACCAGGACTAAACCAGGACTAAACCAGGGCTGACAATGGGGGACATAGTGCTTGTTAACATGTGAGTTTTCATGCTCCTGTGACTGTATAGTACAATACTGCTGTTATATAAAGTCACCTCCGTGAACACATACTGCAGTTAAATAAAGTTACCTCCGTGAACACATACTGCAGTTAAATAAAGTTACCTCCGTGAACACATACTACTGTTATATAAAGTCACCTCCGTGAACACATACTGCTGTTATATAAAGTCACCTCCGTGAACACATACTACTGTTATATAAAGTCACCTCCGTGAACACATACTGCAGTTAAATAAAGTTACCTCCGTGAACACATACTACTGTTATATAAAGTCACCTCCGTGAACACATACTGCTGTTATATAAAGTCACCTCCGTGAACACATACTGCTGTTATATAAAGTCACCTCCGTGAACACATACTGCTGTTATATAAAGTCACCTCCGTGAACACATACTGCTGTTATATAAAGTCACCTCCGTGAACACATACTGCTGTTATATAAAGTCACCTCCGTGAACACATACTGCTGTTATATAAAGTCACCTCCGTGAACACATACTGCTGTTATATAAAGTCACCTCCGTGAACACATACTGCTGTTATATAAAGTCACCTCCGTGAACTCATACTGCTGTTATATAAAGTCACCTCCGTGAACACATACTGCTGTTATATAAAGTCACCTCCGTGAACACATACTACTGTTATATAAAGTCACCTCTTTGAACACATACTGCTGTTATATAAAGTCACCTCCGTGAACACATACTGCTGTTATATAAAGTCACCTCCGTGAACACATACTGCTGTTATATAAAGTCACCTCCGTGAACACATACTACTGTTATATAAAGTCACCTCCGTGAACACATACTGCTGTTATATAAAGTCACCTCCGTGAACACATACTGCTGTTATATAAAGTCACCTCCGTGAACACATACTGCTGTTATATAAAGTCACCTCCGTGAACACATACTGCTGTTATATAAAGTCACCTCCGTGAACACATACTTCCAGCGTCGGCGTTCCGGCGTCCGCGGTGTGAACGCTCCATAAGTAACAAGAGTCTCTGTTGCTGTTCTGACAACAGTCAGTAGGTGGCGCTGTCTCTGTATTGGACTGAACCAGAGACAGTCACAGTAATCACAGCAACTTCCACTGATTTAAGGAACTACAGAAAACACTGACCAGGTACCAGGAACCAGGGACCAGGAACCAGGGACCAGGGACCAGGGACCAGGGACCAGGGACCAGGGACCAGGGACAAGGGACCAGGGACCAGGGACAAGGGACCAGGGACCAGGGACCAGGGACCTTGAGTCAGTGCCAAAGAAGCTAACGCTGTCACTTCACCCTGATGTGGACTGTACAAAGTTGAGATTGAAACATAATAAAACTAAAAAATAGAAAATTCACTGCTGTTGATTGTGTGATAAGAGAGACCAGAGAGAGACCAGAGAGAGAGACCAGAGAGAGAGACCAGAGAGAGACCAGAGAGAGAGACCAGAGAGAGAGACCAGAGAGAGACCAGAGAGAGAGACCAGAGAGAGACCAGAGAGAGACCAGAGAGAGAGACCAGAGAGAGAGACCAGAGAGAGACCAGAGAGAGAGACCAGAGAGAGACCAGAGAGAGAGACCAGAGAGAGACCAGAGAGAGAGACCAGAGAGAGACCAGAGAGAGAGACCAGAGAGAGACCAGAGAGAGACCAGAGAGAGACCAGAGAGAGAGACCAGAGAGAGAGACCAGAGAGAGAGACCAGAGAGAGACCAGGGAGAGACCAGAGAGAGAGACCAGAGAGAGAGACCAGGGAGAGACCAGAGAGAGAGACCAGAGAGAGAGACCAGAGAGAGACCAGAGAGAGAGACCAGAGAGAGACCAGAGAGAGAGACCAGAGAGAGACCAGAGAGAGACCAGAGAGAGAGACCAGAGAGAGAGACCAGAGAGAGACCAGAGAGAGAGACCAGAGAGAGACCAGAGAGAGAGACCAGAGAGAGAGACCAGAGAGAGACCAGAGAGAGAGACCAGAGAGAGAGACCAGAGAGAGACCAGAGAGAGAGACCAGAGAGAGACCAGAGAGAGAGACCAGAGAGAGAGACCAGAGAGAGACCAGAGAGAGAGACCAGAGAGAGACCAGAGAGAGAGACCAGAGAGAGACCAGAGAGAGACCAGAGAGAGACCAGAGAGAGAGACCAGAGAGAGAGACCAGAGAGAGAGACCAGAGAGAGACCAGGGAGAGACCAGAGAGAGAGACCAGAGAGAGAGACCAGGGAGAGACCAGAGAGAGAGACCAGAGAGAGAGACCAGAGAGAGACCAGAGAGAGAGACCAGAGAGAGACCAGAGAGAGAGACCAGAGAGAGACCAGAGAGAGACCAGAGAGAGAGACCAGAGAGAGAGACCAGGGAGAGACCAGAGAGAGAGACCAGAGAGAGAGACCAGAGAGAGACCAGAGAGAGACCAGAGAGAGAGACCAGAGAGAGACCAGAGAGAGACCAGAGAGAGAGAGACCAGAGAAAGAGACCAGAGAGAGAGAGACCAGAGAGAGACCAGGGAGAGACCAGAGAGAGAGACCAGAGAGAGAGACCAGAGAGAAACCAGAGAGAGACCAGAAAGAGACCAGAGAGAGAGACCAGAGAGAGAGACCAGAGAGAGACCAGGGAGAGACCAGAGAGAGAGACCAGAGAGAGAGACCAGAGAGAGCCCAGAGAGAGACCAGAGAGAGAGACCAGAGAGAGAGACCAGAGAGAGAGACCAGAGAGAGAGACCAGAGAGGTCAAACAGACAAAAGAGTTGTTTATTTCCTGACACTGACATAAGCTCAGTTTTAAAACAGATCTCAGAGAATTAAAGTCTCAGCGTCGAGATTCTATTAATGTGAGTGACCTCGGAGCGAACTGCGGATTCTGTTCTCCTCTATTGTATGACAGGTTTTATACTGCTCCCTGCCCCTGCCCCTCCCACCACCACCAACCATTCACACAGACACCAGGAAGTGTCTTGCCTAAGGACACAACCACAGTTTGGCATTTTACAGCCGCAGCCGCCCCACTGTGGCACCTGCTGTTCCCAGAGGTCTCCCATCACAGTACTGACCAGGCCCTGTCCTGCTTAGCTTCAGAGGTCTGACAGTATACATATATAGTTACAGATGCTTTATGAGACCAGAAAGAGAGAGAGACCAGAGAGACCAGAGATAGACCAGAGAGAGACCAGAGAGAGAGAGAGAGAGACCAGAGAGAGACCAGAGAGAGACCAGAGAGAGACCAGAGAGAGACCAGAGAGAGACCAGAGGTTTGGTTTAGGGACTTTCTATTGTACATAATTTCTGCTCAGGACAGGTTCAGGTGAAGTGCTGAATGTCTTTCTAAAGCAGGCGTCTCAAACATGTGTCTGTCGCCCCCTTGTGGACACCGGTGGTCACTGTCAGGGTTACACACTTTGAGCCCATTTTAGCCCAAAAAGAGAAAGAGAGGCCAGAGAGGGCCTAGAGAGAGAAACCAAGAGATAGACCAGAGAGAAAGACTATGGGAGAGACCAGAGTGACAGAGACCATAGAGAGAGACCAGAGAGAGAGAGAACAGAGAGAGAGACCAGAGAGAGAGAGAACAGAGAGAGAGACCAGAGAGAGAGAGAACAGAGAGAGAGACCAGAGAGAGAGAAACCAGAGAGAGAAAGTGAGACCAGAGAGAGACCAGAGAGAGAAAGTGAGACCAGAGAGAGACCAGAGAGAGGGACCAGAGGGTGACCAGAGAGAGACCGGAGAGAGAAAGTGAGACCAGAGAGACCAGAGAGAGACCAGAGAGAGAAAGGCCAGAGAGAGAGAGAGAGACTAGAGAGAGAGACCAGAGAGAGAAAGACCAGAGAAAGATCAGAGAGAAAGAGAGACCAGAGAGAAAGAGAGACCAAAGAGAGAGACCTGTGCTCTCAGCCTCTGGGGCAACACTCCGATCCAGAGAGCAACATGCGGTTGAATATCGTGAGCCTGAGGTATGTGTAGCCAGAGGAGACAGAACTACTGACAGGCCTCTGCACTGCGCATGCGTATTGACTGCAGACCGGGAGTGATCCATCCTGGCGCACAGACGATCTTCGCTCCGCCTGTGTGTGTCTGTGTGTCTGTGTGTGTGTGTGTGTGTGTGTGTGTGTGTGTGTGTGTGTGTGTGTGTGTGTGTGTGTGTGTGTGTGTGTGTGTGTCTGTGTGTGTGTGTGTGTGTGTGTGTGTGTCTGTGTGTGTGTGTGTGTGTGTGTCTGTGTGTGTCTATGTGTGTGTGTGTATGTGTGTGTGTGTGTGTGTGTCTGTGTGCGCGTGTGTCTGTGTGTGTGTGTGTGTGTGTGTGTGTGTGTCTGTGTGTGTGTGTGTGTGTGTGTGTGTGTGTGTGTGTGTGTGTGTGTGTGTGTGTGTGTGTGTGTGTGTGTGTCTGTGTGTGTGTGTTTGTGTGTGTGTGTGTGTGTGTGTGTGTGTGTGTGTGTGTGTGTGTGTGTGTGTGCGCGTGCGTGTGTGTTTGCGTGTGTGTGT